AAGGAGTATTAGAATGTAGGTATGAGTAGGGAAAGTCTTATACTTGTGAGTATAAGAAGTTGTAATCAAGTTGATTATAGTGGAAATCTCTTGCATAGAAAGGGAACTGGAGCACTCTCAGTTGGAGAGGAACCAAGATAACTGTTGTGTGTTCTTTACTATTTTTATTTGCTTCTGTTGCATTTTTCGCTGCACTTATCATCAGGTTCTGAACTCTAGTTTAGAGTCTGAACTCTGGTTCAGAAGTAAAAAGAATTTTGAAAATAGAATTCAAATCTCATTCTTGTGTATTTTTCTCACCTTCACAATGTGCATTTGTATGTTATAGTTAACATTCATTAGATCAGTTTGTATTTGTATGTTGCAGTTATCAATCACTAAATCAATGTGTGTTTATTTTCCCATATATGAGGTTTGGATCCGACAAGGTTTGGTCATATCTTTGTACTGTGATCCATGTCACAGATGAACGTTTCTTGGCCAAGGGTAGGATCCTCATTCCTTCCTATGAGGTATGACCCGGATAGAGGTGGACATGTCCAGACTCCACTGCCTAACGCCTCTGGGTTAGCTAGATTTTGGGGGAGGTGCGCCAACTACGTAGAGAAGAGTGCTCTTTGGACATGAAGTTTATCTTCAAAAACACACTCACACCTTTTTGCATAGAATACATGTTATTCTTTGTCGTAGAAACATTTAACAATTAGGGTATCAATTACCAAAATTGTGCAATAAATTTATAAAGTATATAAATAATATCAGCAAAGTTATGGATACAATGTCCTATTTTCTATCATATTTTCTTCAATTGGTTGGGTTGTTGTTGTAGCTGGCATCATCTTCTTCTAGCCAACGGGGTACCACGAGACGATCGGATTTATTGAGGACGTAGCTTGAGGACGATCGCTGAACTTTTGGAGCCATGGAATTTTGTTTTCGAATATTCTGACACAATGTCTTTCTCCCAGCGGGACGATGATAACCCCGTTCACCTCTTACTTTGGTGCAGATACTCACCCCGATCAATCATGATGTGTTTGACGGTATGCTTATAAGATATGTGTGAGTTTGTCTTTGGGCCTACTGTCGAATTCTTCTAGGGCCAAGAGGATAATCAAATGAAGGTAAGATTCTTTCAGAGGCTCGTTGCCCTAACCCATACGGAGTTTGGATCGCTTCCCTCACCTGATAATTTCCTTATGGAGCTACGGTGTTAAGCAAAGGATTAAGTATGATTGCCGACCAGAGACGTCTTTGATGAGGCTTCGCTCCCCCACTACTAAAGTCTGGGTGTCGTTCCTTTATATGTATGAAATGAATATTTGTTAACCTACAGGCTCAACTATGCAGATCCAGTAGTTTGGCCACGCCAGAAAGGATATTGATGCAAAAAGAACGTCACTAATGAGTTATCTCGTACGAGTCCTTGCGCCAAAGGCAATTGCAGTGGTCTCCGGCGGGGGATGGGGGTGGGGGCTCGCATTGTATTTACTCAACTTTCTCTTTCTTTGAATGTCTTTGTGCCAGGATATCTTTATTTCTTGATGCAGTGCTTAACAACCATATGGACGATAAATCTTACCATGAGAGTGCATCTTAAAGCGACTACACTCCAAATCTAAGTGTTGAGGAGAAAGTGCAAGACCATATTATCCCTCGCGTAACCCAATTTAAATATCTTGGGTCCGTAATACAAATGATGGAGAAATAGAAGGGATGTAAATCATCGAATTCAAGTTGGATGGTTAAAATAGAGATGGACATCCGATGTTTTATGTGATGCAAAAGTACCTCTCAATTTGAAGGGAATTTTTTTTCGAACTGCGGTAATATCTGCAATTTTGTATGGGACAAAATGTTATGTGATTAAAAATCAACATGAGAATAAAGTGTAATAGAGATGAGGATGTTGCGGTGGATGTGTGGTAAGATTTGATAGGATAAAATTAGAAATGAAAATATTAGAGAGCGTTGGGGTAGCGTCTGTAGTGGAGAAGATGGTGGAAAGTAGACGTACGTGGCTTGGACATGTAGACACAAGACTGGAAAAATCCTGTAGTAAGGGGGGAGGATAGCCCAAATGGAGAGAAGACAAACAATTAAAGGAAGAGGTACGACTAGAAAGACTATCAGAAAAGTTATTAAAAAAAATGTCGAGATTAATGATTTGTATAAAAATTTGATCCTTGATAAAATATTATAATAAAATTTGATCAACGTAGGCTCCCATTTGATGGAATAAGGCATATTTTGTTGTCATATGTAAGTATTAAGAAGCTAAAAATATATTTTTCTTAAGAAAAATACTTGAGAGGAACTAAATATTGGGCAACCTAACTAAAACAATTTCACTGGACTGTTGAAGTTTTGGAGATGCAGTTGATTTCTATATTCAGTATGAAATCATATCTAGCCTTTAGGTACATAACTTATCATTTAAAATTTAACTTTTATTGAAACCAACCCAATTCTAACACAAGATATATACAAGTCTATTTGTGTAATTTAAGATATAGTCGCCAGTTTATGAAATTTCAATACTTTATATGGTAGTTTGGCACTGTGGCAATCAGATTAGTGATTTACAGTCACACTAACGGTCTATATGCCCCTACATTTATTTTTATGACTTGAAATAGAATTCCCTATCCTAGAGTATACATCATTTAACCATCTAACTAGGGCACCAACCACGGTTACTTATGCATGGATCAAGTAATTGGAAGAGCACATTTGAAATATAACTGATGTTTCACAATTGATGTTTTTGCCCTAAAGGGGAATGATTGAATCAATAACACATCTCTCATCTTTTTGTCACTTGAATTAACTTCGACTTTGTAGTATAATTATTTTTAAGTGGTTGAGGTGATTAATGATTCTCTCTAATGACCCTAGGCTTTTGTTAGTGGTTATCCTTTTTTTTTTATGTGGTAGGAATGATATGAGTCATATGACAAGGAGTAGTTTGGTCTATTTGTATAACTCGAAATGGTATTATTTTCTAGTTTCTTCACCAAAAACAAAACAAGTGGAGGATAAAAACATATTTCTAACTTAGAAATTGTTTCTAGGTAGATGAACGGGGAAGTCACACACTACTCTATTTAATTTCAGAATCTTATTATTTTAACCAACATCAGATCAAAAGTTTTGTCTTATTTTTGAAATTGTTTGATGATTTTGAATCTTCTATTGAGAATCTTCGCTATATTGTTGGTGGCCTCGGTGATGAGATCTAGTCTATTTTTCTTTGGAGGATTTTTCTAAAAAAAATTTGAGTTTTTTTAAAAGTGTTGTTTTTTTAGTGTTTTGGATATTTCCGTCATTTATAGTATTTTTTTTATAAGCAATGAAGATGTATTAATTAATGCTAATACAAACTGTACTCAATTTTAATTAAAAAAATATTGTGAATAAGATGTTTTTAAATAAAATATAAATGGTTTTTTTATTATCAAGAAACACATCAGAGTTAGGGTAACAAAAAAAAAGAAAAGAAAAAATAACCGGAAGAAACAACAAAGATTGATTATAAACGGCTATTCTTTCATTCCTCTATCAAACAAGATTATAAGTATACAAAAATAACAAATAACTTCTCTTCCTTAAATTATAATTTTATCTTCCTATTTTTCTTTATACAAGTTGAGAGACTAACATACTATTTATAAAAAAAATTAACCCACTAACCTAATGAATTTTTTAACAATTACTCATTACAAGTTAATTTAGGGTACAAGTTAACTTAAACAATTAGGCTTACAAGTAATACCCAATTCAACATGCTAAGAAACCTAACAATATTGACTAATGCATGTTAGAACAAACTTCGACTACAACACGCATTACTCGCGAACAAATATCAATCATACTAGAGTTCAATCCAATATCTAAAACAAAATTATCTGAAAGAATAAATCAAAATTCTAACAAAACAGTTAAAAAATATAGAACAAGGAGTTAATGAACCAAATGCTTTTATTGCACACTACAAGACCTTTCGAAACAAGGGGTTCATGAACCAAATGCTTTTATTGCACACCGCAAGACCTTTCGAACATGCTCTGAACAAATCTCACATAAAAACTTCGCCAAATCCACCATTTCAATGTTTCCTTTATTACCACCCATAAAAAATATATCATTTCTAATTATCCACAAATATCTGACTGCAAGCCGAAAGAGGAGAAGGAAGTCTTTTGGAAATCTTCCTTTCATGAGATTTCCAAAGGCTGCAAAATGCGCTACAATCCTATTAGAAGTATATATCCAATCTAAACTCATTCTTTTTTTTTATTGGATGAAATATACGTGAGTCCTACTATTTTGTGAGATCCTTTTTTAAAGTGAGAGACCTATATGTGTTTCACGTTATAAGAGAGTGATTGTTAGAAATAATATTAAAAAGAGAGTATTTCTATTCCATTCATCCTACTTTACATGAACTTTTATTTTCTATTTTCATATTATATTAATATTTTAATATTTTAATTTGCCATAAAATAAGTCAAACAATTCAAATTTAAGTTTGATATTTTGAATTATAAAACAAAAATACAATCAAAATATTTAACAAGATTCACCTTAGGAAAAATCACATATACCAACATTAACATCTCTCTTACTAAACTTAACAAAATTAAGAAAATCAATAAGAGGAAATGCTAATTTGTACAAGTTACAAAATCATACACAAAATCAGAAGGTTCTAAACCAAAGAGAGATCAAAGTGTTTCAACATTTACATTACACACAAGCAAACTCAGACTACATATAATATATTACCAGCCACTTAAAAAGGGCAAGAATATGAATTTATCAATTCCTGTAAATAGCCATGCAAATTGTATGTAATCACATCCAAGAATAATTGATACAGTTATTTACTATTTTTATATGAAAAAGAAATTGTTGATAATTCACACTGCAACAACCACATTCAGTATGCAATACTTGTGTCAACCGAAATATCGAAAGCCTTTATGCAACTATGAGAGTTATTTAAAACCATGATCAGAACAACTAAATGATGGATTAATTTTGGAAATTTTCTTTCTTAGCTCAGATAGATCTACACTCTTGGAATCTATAACCTGTGAATCATCATATCAAAGAGAAAATTCAAAATATTATACAAAAGTTTTGACAAATTAAAAAATAAAAACTAACAAAAAATAATCTGTATCTGTGAGTACCTCACACTGCACACTGTGGAGTAATCTGCCATTGACTTGGATTGAAAAGCAGCTAACAACATCAAGTCCCTCTTTCAGAAGTTGTTCCAACAACTTAGATAGTGGAACCCCTTCTTCTCTAGTACTAATTTCAACTCCCACAGTTGTATTATTCTTGTGGATACTGAACCTACATGAAGAATGGCTTTTGAGTTCATCCCTTTTAGCACTTAGTTCTTTTATATTCTTCTTCAAGTGATTTATGTAATTCACTCCCTCATTCATTTGATCAGATATTGAACGTTTTCCCTGAAAGAGCCATAGAAAGAACAGTAACCCTAAATTAAGTTATTCTAGAAACCAATAACCTAGAAAAATTTAATGATTAAAATAGATCAAATATTTTACCTTGATGAATTCAAGAGGGAGAAGGGATCTAAGAGAAGCATGAAGTGTGGTCATTTCTTGCCTCCTTTGCTTCTCAATCTCCTTATGAATCATTTTCTTATTATTATCTTTGATTGAGTTGTGATTACTACAATGAGTTGTAGTATCAACTCCTGGTGTATAAAATAAGTTCTTTGGTGGCCGGCTGCTACACAATTTTTTATGAGAAAAATCAAGGACAAGAGAATCACAATCTTCAAGAATCAGATCTTGGGAGATATTGTGATTTTGAGGGTGGTGGTTGAGACTATTAGATAAGGGGAACGACAGTTCATTGCATCGTTGTAAAGGAAACATATTTGTTTGGTCAGCTCAAAGACTTCCCAAATTATTGGCAAGGGAGATTGGGTTTGGGGTTAAGATATGTTAACTAAAGGGATAGTGAGGGCCCTTGTTATAAGTTTATAATAATACAAAGCAAAGATTCTTCCATATAAACCCCATTCACCAATTAAAAATGAAAATAATATATATTCAAAAGTAAAAAGAAAGAAGTGAATGTTTTTTCCATATAAACCTTACATACTCGGGTATCACTTCAATTCGTATGTATTTTCAATGTGAAATCTATCCGTTGATTCGTAATTTTTCACTACTATAAAATAGACATTTCATAAAATCTTATTACAACAACTATCATGTTAACCGTGTTGATAACTCTTTTTTAGGTGTATTTCTTTTTATATTTACTAAAAGACATTTTACTACGGTTATAGTTAACAACCTGTCATACATCGAAAAATATAGAGTCACAACCGGACTTTATTTATTCAAGAGGAAATGGAAAATATCGATAAAACCCTTAAAATAAAAATAAGATGGTCGTTGCACTCACATTCGAGTTCGAGAGTCGATTATTCAGGGAAAGGTATTAGCACATGTCACATCCATTGAACCAACGGGGACCGTTTTGATTGTTTTACATGGATGAATATTATTATTTAAAGGTTACCCGTGATTGGTTTTAAATAAGGAAAAAATAAGTTTTTAATTAATGTGCTCGCAAAGATTTCGAAATCCCGAGCCTACGTATTTCCATAGTGCAATGAGAAAATTAGAGCTCCACTGTTTATGGGGTAAAAAAACAAGTGTGTGCTTGTTGTTTTAATTTAATGATGTTAATGTTTGCATTCTAGCAGTTAAATGTTGCTTGTATACTATCGCGTGCATTGTTTGTATTACGGTAGAACATAAATAACATGACATTTATGAAAAGCTTTTGAACGTCCTAGGCGGAAAATTGAATTTGACTGGTTGTGATTGATTTTAGTCTAAAGACAGATATTCAAACAGGGATTTCTACAGTAGTGTCTAAACATTTCAGAAGAGAGAGTCTATATCCTCCTCCTTTTTCTTCCTTTATATGAAAGTTGCCTTAATTTGAATTGCACTAAAGTCTATGAATAGAGGCAACACTTTGAACAACTGGATCATTCGTTCTGTATCCAAAGATATTCATAATAAAGATAGGAATACTTCCTTTTATTCCTCCTCGAATTCTTAAGACTCATGGCGAACAATTCACATCGTATTTTTTTTAAGTATCTTTGATTTATTTGAAAAAAGAATCTTAGTTTGACATGATTAAAAATGGGAAAGCCTTAATGTTGTCATGCAATTGTTTATCTATTTTCTTGGGTTTTAGTATGGGAGATTTTGACCTAAGGGAATCATTTATGGTACCATGACTTAATATTAATCTAATTCAAGTTAAATGAATAAGTGACTTTTAATCACCTAATTGAGTAAATGCTTAATCAATTAACCAATTAATTAATCATGAACAAAATGCAACCATATTTTTAATTCATGCAATAATTAAGTTATGAATTAGAAAAGAAATGATAATTGAAGTATACCCATGATGAAATTGAACCAAGATCAGCAATAACCAAATGATTAAAAGAAAACCCTAAACCGAAGTATTATTCACATTGAAATATTTCCAAAAATTAACATATAATCAAGAGTTAATCAACATTAAGTTTTGATTAAGGATTAAAAAAGTGAATTAAAGAAATAAATAAAAAGTGGAATTCTATCAGGAGGTGCAAAGTGGAGTGTTGGTGTGGGAAGAGTTGTGGGGCACAAAGCCCAGAGTGCATGGGCCAGTTAATCTTTAGTCATGTTTGTTATCAGAATGGGGGTGTAACAGGGGATGGGTGGTGTGCTAAGTACAAGGTCAATGGGCCTGGGTCTTTGGCCCATGAGAATGGATCAAAAAGGGGAAGGAGAGAAACATTCTCACATTTGTTACCACGTCTCTCAGACTCGCCTCTCTCTTCACTCTCATGCTTTTTTGCTGCACAAAATCGTCGCCGTTGCACCGAAAATCGCTTCTGGCGGCGGAGTAGCTCAGAACACAACTAAACCACAACTAACAACTTCTTCTCCTTGCCCTCTTTCCATTTATGTAACTTGATTTTTCAATAAACCCCAAGACACAACCAAATCTAAGCCCAAAAAATGAAAACCATATTCTAAAAAAACTTAAATTAAATTGTGAACGTATGTGGAATCAATCAATTGGAAGAAGTGTAAGGTTCAACAAGTCAAGCATGGCATCAAGATTTGAATAATGAAGAGAAAAAGCTACCTACCAATGGAACAAATTATTTTTCTGGTCAAGTTGAAGCGGAGAAGTTAATGAAATAGAAGAAATCCAAAGGAGCATCAAATTCCAGGTATTAAGTCATCTTCTTTGTTGGTTATGAATTGTAGAAATCTCTTCTTCTTCTCCTTCTTGATTTTTATTTCTTTTTTTCAATGTGTATTGTTGTTGTTGTTGTTAGTAGGATAGGAAGATTATTGAGTAGAATTAGAGTGTTGTTGATAGGGTAAAGAGTGATGAAAGTGTAAAGATTAGGTAGGAAGTATGAATTAGCAGAGATGGATGATGATGAACAATTAACACAAAGGTTGAATAGTGTGCAACCTTAACTCAATTGCTAAGAGCTTCAGGTATTGAAGCTTTTGCAATTCATGAACTTTGAGAGCTTATTTGAGGGGTTTGGGGAGTGATTTTTGAGCAGATTAACAATAGGGTAGATTTTAGATGATGATGAAATGGGAGAGGTAGTGGTTATATAGGGGAATGAGGATGGAAAAGAAAAGGAATATCAGTTAGGGATTTGAGGATTAATAGCCATTGGATTGCAATCCGTGGCAAAATATTTATCAAGGGTGGAAAATGAATTTTAAAAGTTAGTTAGGTTGTGTGTTAGTTGTAAGTGGAAATGACTGAGTTTGTGTTAGTTTGAATATAATCCCAATTGTTTTTTTTTGTGTTAGTTTGGAGTGTGATAGAGGGAGGTTAGATTAAATATGTATTACTTAGAAGGTTATAACTAACATGGGTTATGTGGTAAGCCTTGGGCAGTTGGTTAGGGAAGGCTTTTGAAAGGGTTTAGAAGCAATTTGGGAAATTGAAGTAAGTTAAAAATTTCTTTAGAGGAGTTAGTTGGAAGTTTGGATAGTTAGGTAGTTAATAGGCTAGTTAAAAGTTTCTTAAATTTGGTCAAGAAGGTAGTTTGCTAGCTTCGAAGAAAGTTAGATGGTTATATTATTGAAAGGTGAGGTTACAAAATGATAGTTTAGGTTGTTATGGTTATTGAATGATCATGGTGTATGAGCAATACGACATTGTATGTATGGTTCCTAATTGTCTTTGATGGAAGTGTGAACTTTATGTCATGGCTGCTATGTATGTGTGATGATGTATGTGTGCCTTTGAATCATGTTTTATCTATGCATATTATGAGTTGAAATGATGAATTAATTATGCTATGATATAACTTAGATTATGTATGTGTGGATGATTGAAATTGAACATGATTTTAGGATGATGTATGTTGTGTAGAATGACTGTTCAAAATTATGTACTATAGTGAATGCATTGCATTGGTTTGTTGATAGAATTGCATGCTACATGTTAGTGAATTGTATTGATGTATAATAGTTGGGATGTTAACTTGAGATAGTTAGAGATTTGGGTTCATGGGGTGTGTTTGAAAGGGAACTAAACTATTTGCATTGGCCTTCTTGTGTCTGTTGAAATTCTGGCTAGCACGCGATGGATGTTATTGTAGATGTTATGACATCCACTGTAACATGTACTAATGTACTTAATAATAAGCTGTAAATGGAAAGCAGTAAATAACACACGTAATTGTTCACCCAGTTCAGTGTCAACCACACTTACATCTGGGGGCTACCAAGCCAGGGAGGAAATTCACTATCAGTAGAATTAATTCAGAGTCAAACAATCCCAATTTGCACTCCTCATTTAAGACCTACCAAATTACACTTCAGCCTAGAGACCACTAGACCTGAGTATACCTACTCACTCCCCCTCAATCACCTCAGTGATATCAATACACAATTACAAAACCAATATGAAGATAAACTTCAAACACACCTTGATCTTGCTTCACAGCTTTGATCAAGGAACACACACTCTTGCTTAACAACTTTGAGTGACTCAATGAACACACTTGTTCATACATAATAACCACAACAATTCTACAGCATACAATTGCTTGACACACAAGGAATCCTAAGACTCCTAGACTCACGTGAAGAATAAAGTTCTTCACTCACAAAACACACTCTATGATCTCTCACTAAATGCTCTCTCCTTTGTGTGTCTGCCCATTAGGAATGCTCCTTCTGCTATTTATAATAGCAAACCTGCTTTGGGCCTTGGTAGAGAATTTAGGTTTACCCAAGATAAATCGTTCTTCATGAAGCTTCACACTTATCATTAGGTCAGGAGCCTTCTATGTTATCCTCAGCAATGCCTGTTATGTTGCCTAAAATAACTATGCTTCCTAGGTTGTTTCCTGAAGTATAGCCTGAGCTAATAACATAAAAACAAACTCTGTGTGCCTTGATGTCATACGATCAATGTCATAACATTCAGCTTCACTTACTCATAACTTTCCTTGCATAACACTCTTCATGTATGTCCTAACATCAGTTATGACATTTACTCATACATTAATGTTTTGCCATAAAATGCAGCCAATCAAAAATACTTACAAACTCCCTATTTGGCTAATTTTTGGTTAAAACACCCTGTTAACATATCAGAGTTTACAAACAGCAGAAGTCTTAACCTACCATGCAGGAAAGCTACTAGCTACACACTATCAGTGTTGTCTATACACACTCACACTGTTAGCTCTCAGGATCAACCTGTTCACAATACCATCTGTTAGTCAGCACTATAGATGGCACAATTTAATGAGTAACATATCAGAATTTACTCCCCTTCAACAGATGCATATCACACCAGT